ATGAATGATAATACTAATGAGGAGAGGAATAGAATGAACTAATAATATACATGATTTCATAGAGTGTCAGAATGGCCGAGATGAATGATAATACTAATGAGGAGAGGAATAGAATGAACTAATAATATACATGATTTCATAGAGGGAAATAAGAATGCACGAATGAAGTTTGCATTTAATATAGTTTACATATATTTATTTTTTGTTCAGTATTCCTACAGAGTTTTGACAAAGATAAAAAGACAGTTCTAAAGTCAATGACTTTGAGGACGAGATTCTTACATAAACTAGCACAAATCCATTCAGTAGCATATAAGAGGCAAAAAGCAAACAATAATGCTTTTAATACTTAAACCTGTCAGTAAACGATTCATTTTGTTTTATTTTCCAAGCACACAAATAAAAAGTGCTTCTAAATGAATTGTCAGATATCTATGAGAAAGCAATCGTAACAGCTGGTTCAACAAGCATTTATTTTACGTCAAAATCTAAAGATATTTTATGATTCATATATTTTGATCAATAAGCATCTGTTGCGTAATAATACAAACATGAAAATTCTATCAGAGCGGATGCAGTCGTGGTTCGGTGGTCTAGGGGTATGATTCTCGCTTTGGGTGCGAGAGGTCCCGGGTTCAAATCCCGGTCGAACCCTTGTTTTTTTAACACACCAGAAATTATTATCAAATTTTCTTGTGACCAAATCTTATCTAATTAAATATCACAAGGAATTATCCTAATTGCTGTTCTTTTTCCGTACATAGTAAATCTATTGGCTGCTGGAATTAATGGCATAAACAACTAATGTCATTATGCCGAGGCGAATGAAATTACTTACAGGATTTGCACATTATAACAAACACTAGTTAGGGGGGGGGGGGTTGGGGCAACCGCCCCCCACACTTTTTGCGGAAAAAATTAAATTTTTTTATTTTATTTTAGCGGCCCAAAACTAGGAATTTAAAAAAGCAACTATGGAAAGTTAAACTGGCAAACTACACCGGGAAAGTTAAATAAGTGATCATTGGTGCTTGATTTTCAATTAACCCTCTGTTATTAACGGAAATTTGAAGCCGGATGTCTTGAAAGGCCTAAAAATGAAGATAATCGTTGAAATTGCTATAATTGTTACCTGTTGTACCTAAGTAGTTACCAATGAAACTGTGTAAATTTACACTTGTTTTAAACTCATGTGTCATAAAAATAAGCTCCATAGTAAGTGTCTCTTTCATTCTGAAATCTTTTTGGAGGTTCCAGAGGAGCCATAAATTGCAAGATAGATGATATTGTACTCCGTTGGCCTGCGAGGGCGGCTCTCGTGGTTAAATCAAACATGGTAGCAGGTCAGTTACACTGATACTTATGTGCTTTTCCATGGGGCAAGAAGTATTCCTCGGACGCTCGAATAGTTCTTTACTAGACTCTGGTCAGTTCAGTAATCATCTTAGCGTGGACAGTTTGCATCTCTTTGGTTAATGATTTTGAAGACTAAACTTATGACTTTGAGAAGCTTCTTTTCTACTGTATCTTACTTTATGTAACGTAATTAATTACAATGCTTTGGATATCTGTTTAAAATAATGTTATTTAGCACAAGCAATCTAACTAAATATTTTTTTTATTTTTCCTTATAATTTATTCATTGGTTGGATTTAAGTAAATTATCACATTTTTTAGTTTTAATTTAAACAAGCCATGCTTTTTATGAAATTATTACCGACCATTTGTGAATTCTCAAAGCACTTCGGTTTAATTGTAGGCTTGTGCTATTGTTACAAATAATGGTTTTCTGGATACGTTTTGTCAGTGGCGTGATTCGGGGGCTTTTTGCAGAAAAAAGTAAATTTTTATTTCGTTCTAGCTGCCTAAAAGTCGAAATTAAAGAACGATGGGGTTCGTGAAAGCTAGACAGTTTTGTAACTTGATTCTTAAATTTTGTTGCCTATGGGTACTTTTAGGTGTCCATAAATTCCCCTCCACACACACTTTTGTCACCCAATCGCCGCCACAGCAATCTTAGGTTTAAAAGAAGTAAAAGATAGCGGTTAAAAAACAATTTTCATCTCATATCATGTAAGCAATTGCAGCTACGGAAGAAATTTTAAATAAAAAGTTGTTCAATACGTTGAGGCGAAAATTTGTCTAATTCGGATTAGCTTTCTATCTTCAATCGTTTTGCAGTTATGGGGAAATTAAAATTAAGAGACTCCATCATTTCCATCCACTTTGAGTTGGATTGCCCATTTACGAACGTCGAAATTTTCACTCTCTTACAACGTATAAATTGTCGACTCAAATCCATTCAGAATTACTCTAGGTGTTGAATTCACAAAGTACTA